GTATGTGACAAATTGTAATAAGAAATACAAGTTTGCTCGATCGAAAATTCCACTATAAGATATTATATGGAAATGCCTGGCTTGCAAGAAGATTCCCATTTCAAAATTATACCTTAAAAGTGCCTTATTTTATTATTTTTGAGGCTGCGAATTAAGCGCATACGAGGTCGAAACTGCAGTCAAGTTTAGTCGGGATGAGAATCTCTTATGAGAGGCAAGGCCTAGTAAAATTCAATGGAATCGTGAGACCTAAGCATATGACGATTGGAAGATTAAATATCAGTCCTCCATCATCTTATACGGCCGAAGGTGAATAGAGCTCTTACTATTTCTGTTGCATATAATAGGGCTAGAACATCCATTACAACCCAGGAGCTCTGCCTGTATGCAGAGTTGGAATAAATGCATGAAATAGCATGTATAGTCGTAGCAGAAGCAGGCTATAAGCTGAATTTAGACAAAGAAACGGGAAATAGATGCACTCTTAACAATATAACTCATTTACAAACATGTAGGAAGAATACTACTGCGGTCAAACAAACAATTTACATTCCAAATATGTTCCATAAGCAAAAGATGCGATTGTAATCGGCCACAAATTTGGCTCAAAGCTTGGCAAATTTTGTTTAGGAATATGTTCTAACAATGCATATCCCGGCAATCCAGACGAAGGGTCAGCACGGATAGATTAGGATTACCGGATGGCGCACTGTATACCCCGCCCGAACCAGCGTTCACAAAGGACAGGAAATTCTTCTTCGGTTTTATTTGGAATCCCTTCTGCTCAAATATGAATGGAATTAAATGGCCCAAATACTGATAAGGCAAGATATTAGTTTAATGGATATTGTCTCATAAGATATTTCATTTGTTTTTTTTAATGTATAATTGTTTACGTCGCTTAGGCATCCAGTGGTACGGGTATCCTTCAGATTCTTAGAATCGGATATCAGGGCGCGCTTAACGGCTACTCACTTGAGCTCTCCACTCTGCAAATAGTCCCGGAAAAGCTTGTCGTAAGAAGAATCCAACTGAGTAATTTCTTCCAAAGAGAAAGAAGCCTCTGTCGGCTTCCCGAAAAAGTAATGAGGCCACAATTCACTTGGGCCCAGTCAGACGGTCGTCCAAATTCGCCGCCAACGGCCTCTCTCCAGCCTCCTCGGGTGGAGGGATATGTCGGATGTCTTCGTCGCATCATCCAGAAGGAAGATGCCTGACATAAAATTAAAAAGGCAAAATGAAAATATTATAGATTTAAGACAACATCCAAACAACTAAAGTTAGCTAATTTAACCAGCGTTATTAACTAGCCACTGGGCTAACTTTGATGTTGCTCTAGTATGATGCAATTTGGTCTTGGACGAAATGATAAAATCTTTCATTTTGAGTGGCTGCTCGAGACTACCGGTAGATCAGATATATGAACCCCACTTATAAACGTAAGATATATAAAGTGTTTTCACCCTACTTCGTTTAAAGTGACGAAGGACTGGCAGTAGAATTTCCCCACAATGATATTAGTATACATGACGTTTTCATTGAATTTAATACAACCTTGCTTCCATAAAAAGTATTCTCATCCAAGGTGGACTGCAGTTTCGATCTCGCCTAGGTCTTATCAACACCCTCAGCGGAACTCGAACTATGACTATGCATTGTGTGATCTCGACATGTCAACCACTACGTCACATTGCAGCGTGTGCCTTTGAATCACAGGGCAAGTGGGAGTTTCGAGAAAGGCACTTTCACATATCACATTCTGTGGTGGGATTGTCGATGAAGCAAAGCTGTATTTGCCATAGCAATCTATTACGTTACTTAGGTTTCGTTTTCAAAAGTGGATTTTCGAGACTACCCGTAAATCATATATAGAAGCAGTTTAAAACCAATTTCGTTCAGGACGATGAAGGATGCAACGATAAACTGTTTGCATTTATCAAGGCAACCGAATTCGCGATGTGACAGACATTTTGATTAATTAAAAATGATGGTTGATAGTGGTTTGAGTGT